TGGTTAAAATCAAATAGATTTATAAGCATATGAAAATCTTGAAAATGGACGGTGTAGATAATATGTTGTAAAATGCACTATTTCTAAGACTTAATTTTTTTTTTTTTTCATGGTCATACATCTTGAAGTCGAGATGATCAATCAAAGGGTTTTTCAACATTAAAACTATCTTTTTCAATGGATTTTTGATGTGCATCCGTAGTTCTACATTATGAGGTTACATCCTTATATAAACTTTTTCTATTATTTATATTTTGAAAATATTTCAAATATTTATTTTAATAATAAATCGTCAAACCACCAAGAAGATCTATTTTTAGACAATTTCGAAGGGAGCTCAGGCTTTATATGTACTATAAATATAGGAAAAAAAAAAAGGAAAATTGCTATATATGGACTGGATCGCATTTCTACAATATGGGTCCGGAGGTATAAAGCATCCATCTCAAAGATGGGTGCAAATCGGTGGTCCATCTAAAGAACAATTATAACTAACAGTACAAATATTTTTTTAATATAATTATTATTTATAGTTTTCAATTTTTTTTCTTCTTATTCATGATCTTGATGTTAAACATTATATATTGTCTAAAAATTAGAATCAAAATATATTTAAATTTGTATTTATTATCATGCCCGCATTTATACAATATGCGGACTGGCCGCAGAGGAACTGTGTCAAAAAATAAATCAACAAATCCAAGTTTTTAATGATTGAAAACTCGTAATAAGTATATGGCATGAAATAAAAACCTCAAAACCTAAAAATGCAATCTCTTTATACCCATTCGATTTAAAAAATTTGTAATAATAAGCTCGTCATAAATTGAATCGCTGTCACGAGGAAATAAGCATACAGTATGATCTCGCAGGATAGCGGTATGGGCACTCACCGTTTCCTGTAGGCATTTGGCCTCCATCAGTAATCGAGTACCATCAGCCAAGTATAACCCTATTCAGGCAATTCAGGCACAATAAGGAAAGGGCTTTCTCTTATAATTTGCCCTAATTTCATTTTGCCTGCAAATTCTCTGCACTTCTCTCTTCTTCTCCATTTATCATGTCTCAAAGGTACTGTTTCCGTTCCTCTCAAAATGTAATATAATTGTAAAGTCATTGATTTTGATCGTTCTGAATATCTCTTGATGTAATTATAAGTTGTTGATGTGATTTATAGCTGTGGTCTCTGTATTCTCTTTTTATTCTCTCAGATTCTGATTTTTTGTTTTATCATTCTTGTTTTTTGGCAGCGGTTTCCATTGTTTTTGTGTGTTCTCATTTAGTTTTATGAATTTGGTGGTATTGTTGCTTCTGATTGGGACAGTGAGATTAAGAATTGGAAATAGTAAAACTTGTGTTTTTGATATGCTGTTTCGTTGCTTCTGATATGGAGAACTGAGGATTTGGAAATATTGAGATTAATTCCAGATTGTTTGGTTTTCCTTTTCATGTTTGATGTTAGAGTGAGGTAAAAAAATTGGAAATATTGAAGCTTCTGTTCTTTGATATGCTGTTTCGTTGCATATGATAGAGAGAGCTTAGGATTTGTACATATTGAAAATTAATTCCAGATTGTTTGGTTTTCCTTTTCATGTTTGATGAGAGAGAGAGAGAGAGAGAGAGAGAGAGAGAGAGAGAGAGAGAGAGAGAGAGAGAGTAGAGTAGTAGTAGTAGTAGTAGTAGTTAGTAGTTAGTAGTAGTAGTTAGTTAGTTACGTTATAGTTAGTAGTAGTAGTAGTACGTAGTAGTACGTAGTACGTAGTAACGTATAACGTAAGTTAA